AAAATCATTCTATCACAGTTGAGTGTGATCTTTTACAAAACTGACTAAGTTTCCAGTCGATCTCAGATCATTAGTTGTCATGTGTAGATTGGATATCAAATCAAATCAAACACAGACAAGCCAAACAAGTGTATTATTTTACTTATTTTCTTGTTTGGTGTTGACTATAGATGTATACAAACCTGGAGATTTGTTTTCAAGAAACAAACCAAATATTGTTACTTTGATAGGAGCTGACTCACAAGACATATCTTCTGTTCCATTATGGATGATCTCGATCGCTGTAGTATGCAAGTTCCTTGCAGGTGTTCATGAAATTATATGTGACACCCTTAGGTACTGATGCTAGAGTACTGTGGCTCCCACTTTACTTGGAATGAATAGATGTGAAAAGATGTTAAGTGATTTGAACAAGACTGCTTAGGCAATCTGTGCCAAAGTCTGTACATTCAATTATCATTAATTTACTGTTGTGTTTAAAAAAGCTGTCATGGATAATATCTTAAATCTCTAATGGTTCAAGTTTCATCTTAAGTACGTATATATTCTTCCTCTGTTTCTCCCTTCCTGTGCAAGGACAATAGAGTCCAGTCTGGAACTGAAGTCCCAAGAGTTGTTACATAGCTAAACCACACTAATAGTTTGCCTAGTTAAGCAGTAAATTCTTAATTCCTATTGTTCAGATGTCTTTCAAATAGTATCTAACACATACGAGACGTCTGCACCTACTGGAATATCATGGAGTTGCAGAAAATCACCATGCCATTCCTTTCTTCATCTTTTCTTCAGTAAGTGTGTGCTGTCTGTGCTGAAAAGACAAAACTTCCAGTCTGAGTTTTCATGATCGATGACAGAATGCTAAAAATGCACCTAAATGTCTTTGTGATTCTGAAATTGAGTTTCTGAAAAAGCATTGTACTTGTGGTAAGAGGTAAAGTGTGACGTTCCAGAGAAATGAGCTGTGAATTGCAGCTGCAATGGAAATTGATCCTGTCTGTCCATCTCTGCTCCATCTTCTCAGGAAAACAGAGTGGAGCAGAGAAGGAGCCAAGATCACGGAATAAATGGGATGCTAAAGTGCCAGGGGCCAGAGCCAGGCTTGCTAGTCCCTCAGGTCAGAGCTGCAACTGTCAGAATTCACTGCCTGATACCCTGCTGAAGCTGGCAGAAGGAGAGCAGTATGAAAAATGCTGCAGGCGCCAGCAGGGGAATTGGTAAGAACTACCTGGATAAGCTTCAGGCATGACAGGCAGTGTGTTCCTTTGGGAGGAAAACCTCTTCTCTTACGAGTTGGTGTTCTTAATTTTCCCCATTCCCCTCATGTTTTGTACCAGTGAGGCATAAGAAAATGCTGAGGAGCAGCAGAGGCTCAGTTCATTTAGAAAACTGCAATGAGTGGAGAGATGTGGCTGTATAACCTCTCTGCAGGTGGGTGCTTACCAAGTAAAGAGGGAACAAAGGTTCAGCAAAAAGCTGTTGTGGTATGAAGTGCATATGTTGTATATAATACAGTGGGTATGGTACATTAATCTTGTTTGTCTTCTTCTCTAAAAGTTGTGATTTCAGTTGTGATTAGTGCTGTGAAATGACACTTCTCTATGTAGCTGTCCCTTTTCTTACCTGATGCAAGGTAACAACAGCAGACCATTGCTAGGATGACAGCCTTCCACTACCACATGAATAGTTAGTGCAAGTCTCATGAGCACAATAGCAACATCTCTATAGAATGCTTAATTTTTCACTTAAAGTGGGGAACTCACTGTGGGAAAGTGATAAAAAGATCCTGTAGAAAATAAAATTCACTAAATGAAGTCATTGTGCTGTAGTAATTAATTCAGCTTTCCCTTTTAAATCAGAGTCATTAGCTGCCATTCTCTTCATGCTGTGTAACAGTTTTCTTTCCCAAGTATGCTGTGTCCTCCCTGATGAAGAACAGGTACTTTCTAATGTATTTGATGTACTGCTCTCTCTCTCAGAACCATATCACATTAAATATTTCCTATGGGGTATGCAGTGATACCTCCAGAGAAGTTCAGTGCTAACTTGACAAAATAGAAGCTTCTTTTTCTATCGTCTGTGGCCATAACTGCTATTTTTCATAACTGTTTTGAGCCACATGGTTTTTTAATCCCAAAATTCCATTGTTACTTTAGCTTTTTTTCCTTGGTTAAAAGTAGACATGGTTCCCTCCATCTCTTTCCTGTTTACTGTATGAATTTACTGATCTTAACCAAAAATCATCATGTGCTTGAAGTGTAAAGATCTTGCATTGACTGGGAACTCAGCTATATGGAACTAGTGAGAACTGGTATCCTCAAGTCTGTAACAAAGTCATGTATGATAAATGAAAGAACCTGTGGTATTGGAAAGAAAAAATAAAAACAAAGAGAGTAATGATATGTCAGAAATCTAGGTTTCTTAGGAATTGGAGGTTTATTTGATGAAAGGAATAATAAAGCATCATCTATTCCACTTACCATGTCCATTTTGAGAATTTAAAAATGAGGTTAAGGACACAAAGTGAGTAAATTCTTTGAAGCAGAGGTCTGTATCTTCAGGGCTTTCTTCACAGACATATCTCTTTGGAATATTTAACCTCATTTTCTCAGTGGACATCCCCCATAAAACAGCTGTTATCTCACCTGCTGCGTCTTATTACATCTTGCTTTATTTTTCTTCATGTCTTTTTCTGCTGTGCCCCAGGTTTGTTGTTTGGCTTTTTTATGTTCTACCTCTCCCCTTCTTTCCATTAAGTGCTGTCATTGACTGCTTGACACATCGACTGATTGATGCACTATGCTTACCCCACGAAGGGGTCATTAGGGCCCTATTAGTTGCATAAACTCTGAATGAATGGTAAGAAAAGTAGATATGAGCTGTGTATCTGATCCTATAGGTTGCAGAATCAAGTCAGGAACTAAAGCAACCAGTGCATTTGCCTTGTCTGATGAGCTTTATCCTGTCAATATCAACAGAAGCTATATTGTCTCCATCTTTTACAATCTAATCTCTTTTTTTCTTGTCTACTTTGTTGGAAGTGAAAATCTGTCATTCTCATAGCAATGACTTCAAGATTTAACCGGAGGGCTAACTTTTACTTTTTATTAAGGTAACATGACATAAGAATATCTTCCTCCTGGGCAGAAGTCTTGGATAGGTTTTGATCCAGGTATTTTGTACAGCCACTCAATTTTAGTTTAAAAATGATATGAATTAGTTTTATGTCTGTAATAAAATGATTTCTCAGCTCCCCTGTGAGTTTTCCAATATGCCTACTATGGAACTAAGTAGGCTGTTCCATATTCTTGCAGCTAGGAGTTTTGTTGAGTTGCTTAATGTTGTGTGTCAGGGTCACCTCAGTTTTGTTGTCTTTCTAGTCCTACTTAGGCCATTCAGATAGCATTACAGTTACACAGTACCTATCAAATGTCCTTTGCTATTCATAATCTCACCTAAATGAAGAAATTCTTAGGTGCTGAAATGAAACCTAAACAAAACAACAAATAAAAGCAAAACTCATTTTCCGTGAAATTTCTGTCTGACTTAGGCAGAAGTAAATGTTTAGGGAGGCATGAAACTCTTAAGGCTTGTCAGTCTTTGAGATTCGCTTCCTATTAATTTAAATTGTTGTCGCAATAGAAGAAAGGGCAAACACCAGAATTCTTAGCTGGGCTACCTGAGCGTGGAAGCAGGTAAATGGCTCCATAGTGATTCATCCTTAGTGGATACATTTTTGCCTTTCAGCTGAGTCACTAGAGAGACCAGGATTAGAATTTATTTTGTTTTGCTGTTCTTTCACCAATTGTCAAATGTTCTGTACTGGTGATCAGCATTGTTTGATAGTGAAAATTAATTAAAAGGAAAAAAAGCTGAATTACTTGAAAGGAAAAAAAATACCTTGCTTTGTAGATCTTAAAACAAGCAATTTCTTAACACCTTTTCTTCAAGGAGTTAAGATGAATAGCATCTTTGAACAAATATTTCAAGCATGCAGGGATTATATTAAAAAGTAAAAAGATGAAATCCTGTGTAAATTGTTTAGAACATTCCTAGTGAAGACATGTTGATTAATAAACATAAAAGAGGGAAGATGCATATTAATTTGTTTACGTGTAAGAGGCTTCCAACTCATTAAAAGTCTTCGAAGCATTTAACTAGTGAAGCAGTGGATAAAACCTGACATTGTCTTTAATCTTGTTGAGGACTCAGATATGAAAAAAACCAGATTATTGCTAAATATGTGTAATAGCTCTATTAATTATAGTGTTTTGAAAATGTGGGATGTGTAGCAGCTCAGTGGTTCTGCTGTAATATGGTGAAAATTTAAGTTCACTTTTCTATCTCAATTGCTGGGACCAGTAGGATTCAAGAAAATTTAACTTCATTAACCACAATCTTTGGTACTTGTATGTAGATTTTGTTAGAAGTGATTGATGACTGGTTATCAACTGGGGTATGTCTAGGAAAGCAAAGATGCAGTAGGGTATCAGCTGATGTGCCTCTTGTCTTCTTTTGGTTCTTTGCTAAACGACTACTACAAACTGAGGTATTTGTACTACTAACAGTTGCTGGTTTAGTGGACTGTTTTAAAGGAATTGAAATATTAACTTAATGTCCTGGACAAATAGATATTGAGTAATTGCATTCAGTGTAACTTAAAAACAATGAATAAGAAATCGCCAAAGAACCACCTCGCCTTTGTATAAACAGTCCTGCAAGAAAATCACCATGTATTTGCAAGTTCTCTCTGAAATTAAATTTTCTTTCTAGATACTTTTTTTTTTTGCAGGTTTTTTCTCTGAAAGTGTTAACACAATTTTTTTCCTGATTTTATTTTGGACACCTATACTTCTGTTGCATAGTGATTCTATAAGTAAATGAATTTTTGTTTCTGCCTGTATGTCATAGTTACAGAAATGTCTAACTTCTTATTTCTCATGTTACTTAGCATTATAGTATGAATAAATAATCACACCTGAATTATGTTGTTAATTTTGCAGATCCTATGCGTGGACCACGAAAACTAGAGGTTGTGGAGATCAAATCTAGACAAATCACTATCTGCTGGGAACCATTTGGATACAATGTCACACGTTGCCATAGGTACAACCTCACAGTCCATTACCGTTACCAGGCTGGAGGACAAGAGCAAGTGAGAGAAGAAGTAAGCTGGGATACAGAAAGTTCACACCCCCAGCACACAATTACTAATCTATCACCATACACAAATGTCAGCATCAAATTAGTATTAATGAATCCTGAAGGACGAAAAGAAAGCCAAGAACTTGTAGTTCAAACTGATGAAGATGGTGAGTTTTTGTATTTGCATATACATTGTACACGACCTGGTAGTCAATACAGTTTTCTATATAAGTGCATGTTCTACTTTCATGAGAATTTGTAACCCATTTCCCACCAACCTCACCAATTATAGAACAGTAAAGTCTCCATTATTACACTGGTCTTTTACATAACCTCTAACATCACACATGGTTTCATCATTTCCTTATTAAACTTGTAACTTGTGCTTGAACTATGTTCTGCCTCTTAAAAGTTCCAGATGAAATTCCAGGTGACTGTTCACAGTATCCCTATGTAAGCTTTTCTACTGAGTGATATGCTCAGCATTAAATATTTGTTCTTGATTTGCAGTTTCAGTTTCACTATTTTTGGCTTTTTAACCACTGGATCCTTTTAGTTTCTTATTCAGACAATATATTCCATATACAGACATTCAAATATACAGGTATTCCCTTTCTTTTAATAATTTTCAGCTCAGATGGGGTTTTCAGACCTCTATTTTTAAATTTTATTTTATTTCAAGAATTAACGTAATTTGTTGGTGTCTTTCTTGAAGCAGGGACAGCAGAATTGGCTACTGTGTCTCTGCAGTGCTATAATGATACTGCATGAAAAGGTGGTACTATCCTCCTAAATACTCTGATATTATTTTGGTTATACATGCAGAGCTGTTAGCTATGATACCAAAATGGGACTTCCTTGCTGAATTGTTCATGCATCAGGAAGCAGTTTCACCTTTCCAGAACAAACTGCCCTGATGTATAGCCCCTTATTGCCCTTTACAAGAGTACCTTAGTTTTCCTGACCTTGCTTATAGCTATTTTAAGATGCAAACTCTTCAAAGAAACCTTATCAAATGATTGGCATTACTTTATATAACAGATCTGTCCTCCTTCCATTTTTATTGTCTGTAGTCTGAGTAGGAATGGCTTTGTGTTTTCTTCCAGATCAATGATAGATCTACTGCAAACGTGTTGGAAATATTCCTACTAAAAACTTGAGCAATGATGAGTTCCTTTTAGAAGAAATACTTGAAGTCTGTCATTTACACCTACTAAATCCTATAATATATGCTGTATTGGTTTTATGTTTTACTAATTTTTAATCAAAATATATGGAGGAGTAAATTAAACAATTTAGGAATATATAGTTACTAATGCAACAGATTCAACAAAGCATAGCTAACAAAAAATGTTTAATTAGAATTAATTTTGCTGTCATCCTCTAATTTTGATTTGATTCAGTTGTAGGATGACGAAGCTAAAGAGCTTATTGTTAACTGGGCTGTTTATGTATTTTATCTAAAATTTCTTATTCCTAGCTCTCTGGAACTTTATGTTATTCCAAGACCCATTAAAAACCAGCATCAATGTCTGAGAGAATACCTTGGACAAAAATAACAAATTTTTAGTATACCATACACAGTCAGTAATGTGTATAAATCTGAATGTAACACAACAGAATATACTGACCCAAATAATCATAGTAATTTTTTGAATCACACAATCATATTGGTTGCAATGGACTTCCAGAGCTTATTTAGACCAACCTTTTTCTCAGAGATCAAGTGAGAGCAGATTGCCAAGGTCTTATGCACTTGAGTTTGAGTACATCTCTAGGTGACCTCTGCCAGTGTTTGACTTCCCTCATGACATAACTGCTCAGAGTTTATGACTTTCAGATAATTTGAGAAGGTTACCACAGTATTACACTTCCAGCTGATTTACACTATATTTAATTCCTCTTCTTTTATACAGAAATCATTTACCCAATGATTCCAGTTGAGTTTTGCTAGTTCTCTCCTACTTAGAGCAAGGTTTAGTGCCCAGAATTAAGGTTGCCTTAAAAGTGTCATTTTACTGGTCTGCACAGGACTGGTAAGTTAGTTCAGAAACCATCACCTGTGTCCTTGGAGCTTCCACTTGGTAGAGCAAGGAGCTCCGTGGAAAGGTGATTATTAAGACTCAAACCTTGCAAACTGCCATACTAACATCGTGGAGCATTAGGAGGAGGATAGTGCTCCACCAGAACTGTCAACAGAAAGGAGTTATCATGTCTTGCTTGCAGATCTTCCTCTTCCTTAACCATTTGGGTAAATCTCAGTAAGGAGTCTGAGAAGTGATTTCAACCACTGCAGCAAGTAGTTTCCACCTTTCTGTAGCGAGTGGAAAATGCAGTGTGTGGAAAATGCATGTGAAAACCCCTCAATGCCTGTTGCCTCACAACAGGCCTGTGTGCATTTTTTCAGGATTTTCTTTTCACATTCCTTTTCCAGTGTTTTTACAAAAGAAAATTGCAGATACTTGTCCACATGGTGTGTACACGTGTCTTTCTCTGAAAACTGCCTTGAGGTTGGCTTGGGGCTAAGTTAATGTTGGAGAACAAATGGGAAACAGAAGTTGATACCTGAGAGTGTTTGACATACTTTTTATCAGCACTTTTGACATCCCTGACTCTTCAGAAGTCTTTCTCATAAATTAAGAGTCTCTAAGAAAAATTAATAATGTCAGGGTTTTGGTTTGGCTGTTTCATCATTTTCTTGTGTTCATCCTGTTATAGGTCTCCAGGCCTTAATGTCAGTGAGCATTGCTGTTCTATGCAAAATGTGGCTCATCTTTCCAAGCTAACCTTTCTAGTTCAGTCTCCTGAAACTATACCTTGTTACTTCAATGTTTGTCCACTTTCATGTATGAATGTTTAATATGTTTTCCACTTTGGGACAGTAACACTGCTGATAAGTGCATATCACAAGCAGATTTTATTTGCAAAACTTTCTATCAGAGATGTTGCCTAATTCCTTATAAAAACCTGATTTCTCCTTTTTGTTGTATCATAAATAGAGTTTTGCAGGAAATATGCAATGATCACTAGTTCCTTCTTACACTGAAGGTGACACATGATGGCACTTTCTTGTTAAATCATTCTCCTCCTGACTATCCTGACCTTTGCTTCAGTCTTGAGGAAATAGTAGTGGGATGTTTTTTACGCCTCAACATTGCAAATATTAAACAGAGTGTGTCCTTCTGAGATTTTTCTTTAAACAACTTTTTTTTGGTTTTCTTTTATCCATTAGTTCCTAGTGCTGTGCCACTTGAATCCATTCAAGGGAGTACCTTTGAAGAGAAGATTTTTCTTCAGTGGAGAGAGCCTGCGCAAACATATGGTGTGATTACTTTGTATGAGGTACATAGAAATTTGCCATGGTTTAATTTTTATGTATGGTTTTGATTTTCAAAAGTGCATAACTGGTATGAAAATTAATTTTTTTTACAGTTTATGTAAAATTAACTTTGTTCTGAAAATAGTAGCACTTAGAAAGTAAATACAGTGTAGGAGTGAATTATGCAGGACCCAGAATGTCCTAGAATTATCAGCTGTAAGAAAACAGCTATTTTTAAAACCATGTGATATGGCATTCTATCTAGTAGTCTGGATCAAATATTTAAAATATTGAAAGACAGATCTTAGTGAATTTCTTAAAAAAATAAGAGATGTAACACAGTGGTGACAGTCAATATCACATTTAGATAGGGCTCATTACAGGAAGCCTATTGTAATAGAAACAAGCAAGCATAATTTTAAAAAATCTAGCTTTTTTTAAATGCAAATTCAACAAAATTGTATGTTGTTAGATGTCTGAAAGTCGCTGCTTTTTCTCATGTGAAACCTCTGCCTGAATACCTCTTAGAAAAATTGACAAAAGACTGCACAGATTAAGCTGTCAGACAGTAATCACTGTTAAGCTTCTTACCTGACCTTACTACAAAATTGGTATTGAAATGCTGTGTTGAAAAAAACCCACCTAAATGAGATACGGTGTAAAAGAAAAGTTAAATTGAATGGTAACCTATTGATACTGTTTTGAAAACTACTTTATTGTAAGAGGATAAAATGTTATGAAAAAGTATGAATTGATTTTTTATAAAGCTAACAACTTTCTAGCTAGTTCAACAGTTGCCTGTCTTCAGGGATCAGAATGTTTTTGTTAAGTGTTAATGTTATTATTATGTTAGACTTTATGTACATAGAAACACGCAGTGGTGAATCCTCTTTCTATTTAGGAGCATCCATGCATGTCTAATCACGTTGCTGAGCAGTACACACTGTATACTGTCAGTGCATTCTTGAGTGTATACACATACATTGCAGGGTTTGTGCAGGTGTATTCAGAGATGGAAAAGAGTGGCTTGAACAGACTTTCTAAAGTAGTCAGGACAGTGCAAATCTCCCAATGTCAAAATAACCTAGTATTTCAGCAGTGAAGAGGATATTGGAAAGAAAATCCTGAATCACCTTACACTGTTTACTTCATACGCCTCAAAACAGAGGTAGGAGGGGCAAGGCAATCAGTTAAATCAGAAGCTTGATTTTGTTAAGTAAAAGATACCAACAGACTGATGCAATCATACTGTCCCTTGTTTTAAAGATGTCAATTCAGTCCAGTCAAGTGGCTGAATATGAACAGGCACCTAGTTGCTGGAAGCTCGTTTGTTAATACTTTTTCTGCCCCAGTGTTTTCTTGTAAGCCTAAAATGTATCATAAAGTTTTTACAGATAGTACTGGTAAACTACCTGGGGGCCAACAAATATACACAGTGAATCACAGGGACATAATACCTATTTTGTGTGAATTTCAGGTGAAGTATAAAAGTATACTTCAGTTACATTTTAGCTAACTGAACAGGATAAGATCCAGACAAGTTAGATGAAATCTAGGTACCTGTGTTTTATCGGTTGATTTAGACTACTCATGATGTCTCAGTAAGCACCTCTCTGGCTGATGGTTGTGCTGTCAATGTAATGCATCCAGCACAGCTCTAAATCACCCAGGCATGAGGAATGAGAGGGGTAGCTCCTGCCTGCACCCTGTTGCAAGCCAAGGCTTGGACGAAGAAGCATCTAAGCCTTGGTTGTGTGTATATCAACAATTCTGATCTAAAAAGCATAGCCACTAAAGCTGCTTTTGTACAAGCGTATGACATTTGATATGTTCATGAAAACTATGCTCGTGGCATTCACCTTTCAGAGATTGGTCTTAGCAGACCAGTACTTAACCTAGTAAGGAGAAGGGCTGGGTAGGGCACATTTCAGCATGAGGGATTCCCCAGTTAATGCTGATCTGCCTGCAGGGGAGCAGTTCAGCTGCAGAGCTGCAGCAGTGGGTGAATGCTCTTAACATTCATCTCTCACCTGCTACTTGGCTGTGCATAAACAGGGGTGGGTGAACGAAATGTAGTTCCAGGAGGAAAGCTGGGTGCATTAGAGCAGAAGACTCACACCTTGGGTGATGCAAAACTTAAAGCATGTAGGCCTGAGTTAGCCCTAAGAGCAAGGTTATTCTTTCCAGGGTAAGCTCTTCAGCTGTTAGCTGTTTTTTTATAAGGGCAGCCTTAAGATTATAGCAGCAGTCACTTTCTTGTAGCAGGAGGTCTCAGGGTCTTGATCCTAGCAGACAGATGAACTTAATGTGCAGTCCTGAGTCTTCATCCCCTCTTTGCAGAGAGAAAACTCAGTCTCACCTCTCTGTCTAGCATTTTTTACTCTGAGTACCTAACTTTCTGTGTTGTTAAAAATCTCACAGTATAGTGTGTTTTCTGGGGCCAGCCATTTGTTTTAGTGCCTGAAGGAGACAGTCTTTTAATGTGTATGGTGAGAAAAACTGTGTTGAAGTATCAAGTATGAAAGCATCAAGTAATCACTGCTTTTGTGAAATTAAGTGTAAATCCAATTATTTTACCAATGTATAAGACTCTTTTAAAGAAGAAATGACATAATGGCAAATTATTCCATTTTGATCCTCTATCACCAGTACAGGTCCACAGTTGTAAAGATAAACCCTGTCCTTTGGGCAAAATTTCATCTAAATTTGATTAAAATTGTCAACATCCAGTGCGAAAATGCCCCTCATGCCCTTTTTTCATCACTGTAAAGGTGAACTGTCATTAGCAACAGTTTAAAAAAAGCAACCTACCAAACTGTCTTACAAGTAGGGGTGAAATACATAAACAGTGCAAGTTCATTTTAACCAGGCAAACACTTACTTTGTTCATGTGTTCTTCATGCTCCATGGAGAACTTATTTCATTGTGGAACATCAGCCATTTAGCTATCTAACAACTAAACAATGCAAAAATTTTATAAGAATCTAACGTAGACTGCAGTCTCTGATAACCTGGTATCATTTTGAATGAAACGTAAATGAGATTTTGGAAAATCTAGTTAAGGATCATAGAAATATAGAAAACAGAGTTAAAGGGAGCTGCTAGAAGTCATTTAGTTCACATATCTGTGGCAAAACAGGATCATCTGTATTTAAAACTTAGTTGCAATGTTATCTAACCTGCATTTTAACGTCTCAAGATAAAGTTACGACCCACTCTCCCACCAGCAGACATAACAACACTTAGCGTGAGATAGGGAGATTCATGGGAGCAATATGTAACCTGAATTTCTTTACTGATAAAAGTTCAGATAGTGGAAAATATGATCTTCTTCTGATGTCTGTTAGAATTAGAAGGGTTAGTTGGGTGTTTTTTAAGACACTTTCAGTTCGGTTTATGGATGAGGAATTGTAGAGGATCTGCATATATCTACTGAAATAATGTCGGGGTTTATCTAAATAGTATCAAAGTTTTATTACTAATTTCCAGCACTTTATTAATGTTACATGAGATGGGTCATATAAAAATCAATTTTCATTAAGTCAGAGGTTTTAGGAAATTGCAAGTGTTTGAGATGGGTAGTGCTGACACTTGGATGTTTCTATGTACTATATTATTTGTCCTCTTAATTATAATGATGTGGCATAAATATAGAACAAAGAATGTCAGTTATAACTTTATATAATAAGGGCGCTGGAAATTATTCGCATACAAATGAAACTTTAAAAGTATAAAGGAGGGCTGAATAATTTTTACTTTTTAATTTTTTAATGGATTTCTTATTTTTAAACTCATTACAGTGCATAGAAATTAGCAATTAATAGAAGAAATCTGGATCAAGTTTTACTGTGAACTTATATTAACATTTCTAATGAAAACTAAAATACTGTTTGAATCAAAGAAGGAACTGAGGATACAGTATACACTCCGCATATATTGCTTAACATTTTATCTCTCCTTTCCTCCAAATGAGAATCTGACCTAGGTATATTATAATAACCTGAAAAAATCCAAATTAGCAATTGTAATAGCTAAGCTTCAGACTAAAATAGAAGCTTTACCCACTTTCTGAAAAATTTGCCTTAAGCTGCCCTTATCATCTTTTACAGATAACCTTATTCAGAGGAAAGTGTAATTATGGTGCAGTCAGCTGGAACTTGGGGGCTACACCTTCTGTTATTTGCTTCTTGGTTTTTACCTGGTTGTTTTGGTTTTGTTACTGTTGCTGATCAAAACCAACAGTAAGGTGAATTAAAAAAATGACACTGTTAAAGCCAACATCTTGAAGGAATTAATGTGAGCCTGAACCCATCCTTTAGAGCTGTAATCTAGCTGCCCCTAAGTCTCTATATCTATAAAAGTAATAACTCATACCAGTTACAACTGAGTTTCTGTGTCCCTTCATGTGATTCGGGATTTGAAGAGTATAAGAGAGTAAGATAGCTTATCATAAAATGTCTGACAGCGCATACATCAGAAGGGTTTACTGGATAAAGATGCAATCTCTGTCCATCTGCTCAAGGCAGTTTATAACTTTCTTATTCTTTTGCAGATCACCTACAAAGCAGTCAGTTCCTTTGACCCAGAAATAGATTTATCCAATCAAAGTGGACGAGTCTCAAAGCTAGGAAATGAAACACACTATCTCTTTTTTGGACTGTATCCTGGTACTACCTACTCTTTTACCATCAGAGCCAGCACAGCTAAAGGCTTCGGACCTCCAATCACAAATCAGTTCACCACTAAAATATCAGGTACTTGATCAAAGAATGTTATTATTTCCTTATGATAATGAGTTGGGTAATTCTTTTGTTGTTTACTTCTTTAGAATTTAACAAGCAGCAAATTGAAAAAGTATAAAACGTGTTCATCCCTGAAGTTGTTCAAGTGACATATATTAACATATCAGAAGAACTTCCAAGGGTTTAAATATTCCAGTTCACAACTGTAACATATCACTCAAGAAACCCTGTGAATTATGTGCTTGCAGCCAGAGCCAGCTGCGGTTGCAACATTTAGTGTAGGGTTTTTTTGGACCTGAAGATGAGGGTTTCATTCAGAGCTTAGTCAGCCTTGACATGATTCTAAATTAGTATAGTAACGGTGCTGGAAAATCTCTTTAATGAGCCATGAACAATTGAGAGTAGAGCAGAAATACTATACGTCTAGTGCTTGCTTAAAAAGTGTGGTTAACTGCCAGCCTGCATATGTTCCTAGCAGGCGTGTGGACTGAAGTGGATATGAAACTGTATTAGACAAGAACATCAGGACTAGTGGATTTCAAATAACAGCAGCATGACTGTGTCACTTCTGCAGATCCTTGAACAATATTTTAAAGCCCTCCCAGAGGCAGAGGAACACTTCATTTCTTAGTTGATAGGATGCAATACTATTACATCCTCTAAAATGCTTATGTAATTGATGACAAAATGTTTTGCAAAGTTACAGTTGAAATCCTTTTATTCTTTACTTCTCTGCAGTTTGCTTGGGAATTAAACCAGCAGTTGAACTATGGCTCTTTGATAATATTTGTAGAAAATTGCCTTAGCTATTTATGGTCAACTGTGCTTTTCAGACAGGATAAAGCATTTGGGTACAAAATCTTCTTACTCTTTTACTCTCATTCTGTGTGCTATTCCCTGTCCCTCATTTTCTGTACTCACCGGAATGGTAAAAACTAACAAGTGTTAATTGGAAATAGACCAATATCTTTTCTTTTATTATAGGAAAATGCAGTTAATGCAAGATTGAAGTTATTTCCAATACAGATGTTTGTACAGGAAAAAAATTTATAAATTTTCAAGTTAGAAAATTAGTCGTTATGGAACATCTAAACATAATTAACACTGATCAATAAAGATGGGGTTTGTTTTTCCATCCCCTTTCCTACACTGAGCAGAAACTTCGTCAGAAATCAATATCAGACATAACAAAATTTGATATGAGTAAGGATCACGGAATCAGCCCCTATTAGAATGAGGAATGAAGGAGACTATTGAGCACAGATGAGAATCTGGACATTGGGGAATAGTACTGGATCTTGAATTGTTCTTTTCTAAAATTATATGTCACCAACAAGAAGTCATTACTGGGAACAGACATTGCAGGCATACTTGGGAGTGAGGCTAACCTCCAGGTTGCCATGTGATGAGGTTCTTGCACTGTGTTGTCTGCACCCTACTCTCTCTTCCTGTTACTATACTAACAACGAATGTTTATGGCATGTCCTTGGGTAGTTAAAACCAATCTCTTGATGAATTTAGAATAGAACCACAATGCAAATATTTCTTAATATAATTGAAAAGTCACAATTGACATTTTTGCTGCTGAAATATGGTAGCCTCTTTGCAGTGCTGTTGGCTTGTGATCTCATTGTCTCACTGGAAGGCTTTGAGGCTCTTTGATATGACCAGTGCTCTCCATTTTGGACAGATGTGAGGCAAAACTGCTGAACATTTATGGATGAAAGGTTTCAGTACTTTTTAGAACAGTTGAGGTGGCAACAGTGCATTCTGATCAATTTGTGCATTTTACTTTGTCTAACTCTAGGCTGCATTTTAATCTGAATAAAAATCTCTATTTTTTCTGTCTTAAGTGTGCTGAGTAGTATGGTTCTGTACTGTAAATAGTTGCTGTGTTTTATTCTACAGTTGTGTGATTGGGACAGATGGATGAAGTGATCTCTATATAAATACATATTACCAAAAGCAGAGCTTATAGCAGTGCATGCTATCAAAATTGATTGGCACTCTATTAGAAGATTGTTTGCTGTTGCATGTAACTTTTTGAAAAGTCAGCTGTGAGGGCTGAAATTTTGTATGCTGCCTTTCATTCTAAGAAAAATTTCATCCATTTCAGGGGCATGGCTGACATAATGAAAAACTGTAAGAATCAATAAATTACCAAAGTGCTTTCAAACGGGGATTTAAATATTTAGCAAGAAGAGAGACATTACACTTAGCCATCACTCTAAAAATCTGTCCAATTTGCCCAATTTGCAAATGTTGCAGTTTGCACATAAATGGTGGAAACTGGATAGAACTGAGCAGCAAATGTCGCCATAGCTGCCATACTCACTGAATAGATTTAAGTTCTCCAAGCTTTTAGAGCCTTGCCTGTGTGTTCATCAACTCATTGTGGCCAAACACAGATAGTCTCTAAGGGCCGTACCTTTGTGTGCATTTGAGCTTTCTGCTGCTGAAGACCAGGGTGTGCAGTTGCAGAAACTGTGTACAGGAAGAATATCTCCTGTTTTCTGTTTATTGATAAATTCCTTCTTTACGTGTGGGCAGTGTGGAGGAAGAAAAGTCCTAACCTAGACAGGAGGAAAGAGTAAGAATAGGTAAAGTCCAAGTATCTGTGGAAAAGAGAAAAGGTAGCCAGAACTAAAAGATGGGACTGGGAGAACCACAGCTCATATCTGGGACAGGAAGACAGTTTTAGTCTCTTGATAGGAACACTAGAATTAGTCAAGAGAGCAAGTAGGGACCTAGGAGTCATAAATAAGGAAAGTTACATGACTTGTTAAGATGTGGGCTGGAGACCAAGGGCAAGAAAAGATATGGTATTCAAAAAATGTTCAGAATTCATACAGCTTTTTTGTGATGCAGTTGTTCTCCATCCTTATTTTCAGGATGGTCAAGTTCTGGATAGTCAAAACTGCAAAATTGAAAATTGGGTCCAAATCTTTAAAGTACTGTTTAATATTATGCCTTTAGTGGGTACCCAGATTACTTAAAATGATTACTCTAAATATTTGTGCCTTATATCCAGTATTGTAAACAGAATAAAACCCTCTCATCTTATATGGAGGTTTTTGAAGATTAATTTTTTTCTTTGTGAACTAGTTCAAAACTGGTGAATACCAATAAGATGCAATGGTGATGTTACTGTTTTCACAGCAGACTGAGGAGCTGTGGACTGAAGTGTTAATGCAGTCCTTACTTGGATATGTAGGACAATATGGATAAGGAGAGAGAAGTTCATATACCTTTCAAGTAGATGCAGCTACTATTGAGAAGGTGAAAATGATTGGAAAATACACTTGAAAGAAAGACTTACATTGTTGAAGCTATTTAATTTGCTAGAGGAGTGAGAGGTTGATATTATCTGTATGTGGAGCATAATACACTCTATCTTCATTGGTAGGGTGCACGCAAAGTATCCAGTGACTGGAAGACGAAACTAGATGAATTGAGATGTCAAATGGGTCTTCACGTTCAACATGTGGAGTATAATTAGCCTTTAGAAGAGTCTGCTAAAGCAAAGATCTTCTTCCCCACCAAATGTGTTTTCTTTTCAAGTGGGAATTAGTTCAGGGAAATTCATTGCCCTGCATGATTCATGTGGTCAGAAAAGATCATTGCAGTGACCACTTTTTGCTTCTGTAGCCTTTAAATCTGTTAATTGTGCACCATCATTAACAACTGGACAATAAGCATACGACAGACTGTCAAGCAACCAATTAACCAAGTAGCCTTCCATCTAATGTAATGATAAAAATGTGACTAGATGATAGCACTGAATAAAGTAGCAACAGTAAAAGGCAGTAACTGGGGGATCATTTGTTTTAATCAAAATGGTAATTCTTTAATGAAGACACAGTTTGCAAAAGTGCTGATTGTGGCTTCAAACTAAGATAAGCTCTCATGGTGATAATCCTGCTTCATTACTGTAAATTATGTCTGTGGAGGACAATAGACCCAGGACAGTTATAGCACTGCTTAAAATTCTAGGAATGACAAATTCTGAGAGTGCATCCTGATACAACTGACATACTGAGAAAGCTGGGCTCAGTTTCAAAAGCTATAGTCACTTCAGCATGCACATTTGCAGATGCTGTTCTTAAGATAACTTTTCATTTCCAAGTCATGGATTCTCAATACTTTCTGCAAACTTACTCCTACTAGTATCTGTTTCCTGTCTTGAAATTGGCAGTGAGCTGGGATTTCTTTGTTTGGGCTTTGTTTTTCAGTTTTTTCCTGAAGTTATTTAACAGTTGTCTCACACTTCCTTTGTAACAGAAAGCTTCTTAGACTTATAATATGGTCTTTATATTTGAAGAAGCCTTTAAAATTACATATTCAAATAGAGATACAGTGCTTGAAAGAAGAAATACAGGAATAATGATTTTATTTGCCTTTTCTTTTCTTATTCTAGCACCCTCTATGCCACCATATGAACTTGAAACACCTTTGAATCAAACTGACAGCACTGTGACAGTCTTGCTGAAACCTGCACAGAGCAGAGGCGCTCCTGTCAGGTACTGGGGGGAAAATCTTTATAAAATTAAAGCCAAATTGATTAATTTTTTGAGCATGTTTTCTGGGGATTTTCTACACAGCAATCAGTGTCTAAATTCATGTCTGTATTAGCTCTAATTAAATTAAATAACTGAAGAAAATGAAAGTGCTTTGATGTTGAGTGTTCGTGTATTGTTTAAAGGATTTGATCCAGATGCAAGTGGCTTGTTCTTTGAAGATAAGGAACAAAGCCATAGTTCTGTTGTGTGGGTGGCTTCTTTAAGGTAATTGCTTACTGCAGTGTTATAAGTTCAAGGGCATATCACATTTTTTATGCTGAGCTACTGTCTTTAGTAGTCTTGTTTACTTCACAGATTTAAGATCGTAAACTCTTAGTAAGTTAGCGAATTTGTACAGTACGTATGGTAATATTCATAAAGTAGTTACACTTAATTGACCGTCATAGCATAAACAACAATGTAAAAAAATCAACCTGGTAAACCAGTAGCTCAGATTCATTAATGTTATATAGCACCCGTCAATGAATTTCCAATTTTCAGAGGTTTATTTCCCTGCCAGATATATGGTACTGTGTAAGTCCTTAATTGATTAGAAGAAAAGAAGCTTGCTTTTCAGTGAATGGTTAGATTATTTTAAATGAGAACCTGCAATGAGCTCAATACTCTGAATAAGTGAAAATCAAGTTGGGAGAAATACAGATTTTTCAGAGGTTTAGGATGTTGGTTAATTGTGTATCCTCAAAAATTGTTACTTCTTTTGTTACTGTAGGAAGAGTTTCCATCAAATATTTTCATCCTGATGCTAAGGTTGTTGGTAATTTCTGTTTGTCTTGGAAATACAGATCTGGTATTCTTGTATATGCATGAATGAAAATAATGGAGCTTTGGTTGTTTTCAAAGTATTCTATGTTTCATATAATTAGGGTGTTTTTAATATTATTTTTATATATTATATGAATATAGGTCTGCATTTAGGAATTGCCATCCTGTTGGTCATTCAGACAGCTTTTTAGGAAGAAAATGTAACACTTCAAGAAAGTCTGAACTACCTGAGATAAAAACCAGAAAACATTAGAACACATTTAATGAAACTGTTTGATTCAGCAGGTTAGATTAGAAATAGAATTATTTTATGTTTGTCTTACTTTATCTCTCAAAGCTGTAGTGTAGTCTTTCTGAATTCAAGCATCTGGAATAAAATAATACAAGTTGGAGTCATTGTAGTTTAAACACAAATGTATTAGGCCATTAATAAAAAAATGGTTTCATTCCTTTTATCTGCATCATGAACTAAAGATGATTGACTCCTGTAGCAGTAATGACACATCAGAAACTTCACTGACATTAGAAAGGAGCTCGTTAGGAGATTAAAGTGTGCCAAATAAGTGGATGAGTGGTTAGGAAAATAGGGGGAGAGATTTAAAGGAACATGAAGCTATATAACTGACAGATGAACACATAGCAGCAAATTTACCGAAGTCCTTTGCAGCAGGTCGTAAAATAAAATGACTGCTGACTGCAAACTCACAGTGTAAATACTGAGTGAAGCAGAGTGAAAATGAAAGTAAGAATTTCTTAATACTTTTAACATTTTACTGCGCATTCCACTCTCTAGCACACTCTCATTGAATAGCTCACAGAACACATTCTGCATATGGATTTTATCATCTTAATCTGTATTCATTGAGTGTTAAAAGTTTAGTCATACTTCATTTATCCACACCACTAAGCAAGATGCCTTGTCTATTGATTCTGCTACAGCTACCGGCTTGGTTAATGCAGATTTTTGAAGCTGCACTAAACTTGCAGTGTAAATGATTGTTGTTGTTTTATTGATCAACACATCAACCATGACACATAAAATTCTTTAATTCCTGAGATGGAATAGGAGAGCACAAATTCTACGGTTCAGGTCAACAAAGCTGATACCTGAGGTCATTCACAATTCCAGGATTTTTCTCTGATAGAATTCTTTTTCTCTACTTAAATATGAAAACTCCTGATACCTTATACCCTTTTGAATCTGCACACCACCACCACAGCATAAAAGGAGAGAAGGGGCAAAGCTGATTGTTTAAATGTTGACTCAAAGAGCGGGCTCTATAGAAATGTTCAAGCAGCTCTGTTTACAATGATAAAGTACACATTAATCATGAAGGCCAAATGGCATTCCAGGTTGTTTTAGAATTCATAAGACTGGACATGATTAAAATGTATTTTGTCAGATTTTTAATACAACAAATACTGCTTGCTTTGTCTTCAATTTCAGGTCCAGCATGTTTTATGGCTGTTGCTGTGTTTGTTTCAAGGAGATTATTTCGGAATTATATATGTTTAAAGCAGTAATGCATTCAGTAATGATGAATATATGCACTTCTCTAACAGCTGGCTAAGCTATTTTGATTTTTAGAATGATTGTAATTTGTAAAGCTTAAATTAAACAAAAAAGTTTAATTTAGGATGATGACTCCATGGAAATTGTCTAATGTATGTCTTATTGTGAATATTCTCTATTTTTCATATATGTGTGTGTAGCAGTCAGTAAAGTTTGAAATAATTTGCATAAAAAGCATAGAAATGCAAATATTTTTGCTATGAGGGCTTTTCAACATCTGTTGAGGGGGGACTCGTTCTTCCAAGGCAATACCATTTGTGCTTTTTACTTCTTCAGGGCAAGTTAACCTAAAGTTTAGAAGACCCTGGGGCCAAATTGTCTACAAATGCATAGATTGGTCAGTTCCATATACTTCAACTAAGGAATGCTAATTTATTGCAAAGACCTGGCTCATGCACAGAAATGAGAACTGTAAAGCTTGGTGATTGCATGTATTTAGTGTTATTTTTATATTCATCTATATAGAAAGTGCTCTAGATTGTTTGCCACATTCCATTATAGAAGGGTCTTAGGACCTCGAAAAAAGTGTTCCTGTAATTGAGGTTCAG